TGCAATTTTCCTTTAGAGCGACTTACTTATGGCTCTTTTTCTATGAACAAATTTCTTCTTTCATTAAAAAAAAAAAAAAAACCAACGGCTTTTCTACATTCCAAAAAAAAAAAAATTCTTCTTAAGTTTTAGAAATTCTAAAATAAGAAGAAAATGAAAAATAAATGAGCCATGCACAATGGCCAACCACACAATACCATGCCTTTTATGATTACATACAAAAATCATATATAATGTTTTTAAATCTGAAAAAAATATAAATAATGCACTTCCTAAAAAAAAAAAACCTTAAAATGGGTATCTCCATATGGCATTATCCTTAGATACTAATTTAAGTTTAAATTTATATGAAAAACTCATAGTTCCAAAAATTTTATCATACAAATTCAAGAGAAGATATTACACGGCAAGTTGCCTTCTTAACTTGAAAGAGGCAAAAAAAAAAAAAAAGTATATGCTTAGTTATTGTTTGGATTATTATGTTTTTAAAGCACATATGCTTTTATATATTTTTGTTTAAAAATTGCGTTTAGTTAAAATTTGTTTTGTTTTGAAATCAAAGTACAAGACACTTTATTGCGCATTTATCAAAACAGAATATCCCTACTTTTAACCAAAAGCAAAAACGGTTTATTATAAAATTTGCTATTTTCTTTTGAAAAAATATAAGTTTATAAGGTGCTAGTTGATAATCAAAATAAAGTAATGGGAATAAGAATACGGGAATCGAAATAAAAATTAAGAAATTAAAATGGTATTTGTATTTTCATACTTTGTTTGGAATGCTAATAAGGAATCGAGTAAAATTTAAATTTTTAATATCTGATTTTTTATACAAATAAAAATAATGAATAAAAAAATAATTTTATTAAACTATAATGGTTGTAAAAATAATAAATGTCATAGTGATGATTATGGTTATGATAGTGGTGGTTCTAGTGGTGGTAGTGGCGGTGGCGGTAATAATTGTAGTAGTGGTGGTAGTGATGGTGGTTATGATGTGGTGATGATGATAGTGGTGGTGGTGGATAGTAATGGTGGTGGTGGTTGTTATGGTATTGGTGGTTGTGATGGTAATGATGGTGATGACGATGGTGGTGGTGGTAGTGGTAAAAGTAGTTAATAGACAATAAATAAATAAAATATATTTTTATTTTAAAAAAAATTCATTCACATTCTTTGTTTTGATTCTCACATTTTATATGGGAATGAAGTTGTATGTAAATTTCATTCTAATTCCCACTTCATTCTGTTTAATCAAACACTTACAATGTAGGAATAAAGCTTTCATTTCCATTACCACTACTCTATTCCTAATTATCAAAAAACACCTAAAATCAATATAGTCAATTACGTACTAAAAACCATTTTTACTCTTACAACCTATTATTCATAATACAATACCATATAACATAGTACAACACAATATAACAATTACAAACAAGTCTTAGTTAGTTTTAAACGACGAGAAAACCTAATTAATTTAAATACGATTGAGTTACTCTCTCCATGAAATCAAATAAATAATGAATCATAAAAAAAAATACTTTATATTATAGCTATGATCAATTACTACAATTGTTAAGCTTCAAACACAGTAAATAAGAGAAACAAAGCATTAACTTTTTAACACATGAATATATCACAAAGATCATTAAAGGTGTGAGCTAGGCAGCTTAAATAATCAAATATAAAATAAGAGTACAGTGAAAGGTTTGTTTTGGGATAATTACAAAAAAAAAAAAAAAAAGCTAATTTATTTTATTTATTTATTTATTTGAAAAATGATACAAACAATTGCTAATTAAGGGTTATACCAAAGAAAAATATTACTTCGACTTATTTTGTAGGAAAATATGTTACAGAGACGCAGAAACTAATTTGGTATCAAAAAATATGGAGGTTTAAGAGAGGGGATGACCTATATATGCTAATTAATGTAAATAATTCAACGCTACGATATTTAATTGAAAAAAAAAAGAGGAATAATATTGGGGCACCCTACGAATTCATTAATACGGATGATATCAACTGAAGGAAGACAAGAAATTAAAAAATATATAAAGGCAAGTCGTCCTAAAATTTGAAAGCTAAGGTATATATATATACACACACAATAATCATCACCAGCTACGCTACACAAATTAAAACGGAAAAGAGAAAAAGATACCAACTTGGATTGGTGGAGCAGAGGGATTACAAATTTGAATTGTTTGTTATAATTTTTCACATACTATACAAAATACCTTCTTACAAATTAAAAAACATATGCTTAAAAAAATTAATTGTAGTCTTATGTAAGTTTCGTACCACAATATTTTTGAGTACTAAGTTAAAATTTTAATTTTAATTTTAACCATAGTTTAAGTCTATTGTTTGTGTGTATGTTTTCTCAAAAAAAAATCTCAATGCTTTGATTTTTCTTTGCAACTTTTAAGGTTTTGTTTGATTATCAATAATGAAATATTCAAAATAAGAATGGAGGAATGAGAATGAACATTAAGATATCAAAAAGATATTTTATTTAAATATTGTGTTTGAAATACTAATAAAAAATCAAAATAAAATTTAAAATTTTTAATATCTAATTTTTAATATAAATAAAAATAATGATTTCATCAACTATAATGATAGTAAAAATAATGAAGATAATTGTGAAGGAGGTAGTGGTGGATGAGGAGGATGAAGTGATAGTAATAATAATAATGGACTAATAGAGTAACAATAGAAATAATATATTTATAAAAAATAATAATGCAACTAAGATAAGAGGTGATAGGGGGAAAAAGTGATAGTAGTGATGGAATCTCAATAATAATAAACATTTTTTGAATTTATTTTATCACCATTACCAATAACATGGTGGCAGTAGTGTCATTGATAGAAATATTAATGGAGATAGAAGTAGTTAATGCACAATATATATATATAAAATTTTTATTTTCATTTTAATTATTCATTTTTATTTATATTCCTTTTAACTTTTATTTTTATTTTCACGATTGCATTTTTTATTATCAAACAATATCTCAATGTAAAACTCGGAATTTAACATGTAAAATCTAAAAGAAAAAAAATTATTGTTATCTTTTTTCTTTTTTTTTTTCCCTTTCATTAGCATTGAATCTTTCCTAAGGAATTTGACTCAAGTGTTTTTTTAATTCAACTTGTCTTTATCGTCATTCATGCGTATAGCAGAAAGCTAACAAGTAGGGTTTCTCCGCTATAACTAGCCTCCATCTTTTTTTAAAAAAAAAATTATTTAGCTTTGTTCTTCTTGGATAGGTTTCAGGTGATATATATATATATATATACATATATATATATATATTGAGTTTTTTTTATTATTATTACTATCATTTCATTAGTTTTTTCAAATTTTTTTTACTTGCAATATTCTATTTTATTTTTAAGGTATCTATAAAACTATTATTTATTTATTTTTTCTCTCTAGGTTCAACGAAAGAAAAAAAAAGATTGCATGCGGAATATGCGTTTCATAATCATGCTCGCATAATTGATGATGGTCGAGTTCCGGAAGTTTTTTTTTAAAAAAAAAAAATTCATTTCATTTAACTCGAAACTGAAACTTGGTACAAAATAGACTCCAAGGCTGGAGGAGGGTTGCTAAGCCAGCATACGTACATGGATCAAAAGAGAACTAGCTACATTAATTCTTTAATTGCAACCCGATATTCTGCACTTGCATTTGCTGCCCTAACTGCGTATAAACCACCAGAATTGTGGGCAAATTATGTATCACTAATCTGCATATATATAAGAAGTTGTATTCACCGCATCATCACTTTGCCCTTTTGATTTGAGGGTTAGGATCATTCGGTTTTGCTTAGAGCTTGAATTTTTGCAGTTCATTCTGTTATGAATCTAATGTCTGCCTGAAACACCCAAAAAGTAGTGCAGAAGTGTATTTAATTGTTTGAGGCAACACTAATGTTGTGGTAATATTTCATCGTACGAGACCTATTAATTAATTTTGTTTTCATGATCGACATCCAATAGATATCTTGAGCAAAACAATAATAATAAAAATAATACAAGATTTTGTTAATTACAGAGAAAAAAGTTTAAAATTCTTATCCAAATAAATTCAATTACTTTTTACTTCTTGAAGATGGAAAAAATTATATTGATACATCTTTTTTTATCCACCATTTATAATTAATAAATCAATTAGCGCATGGTATTCACCTCAATCTAATACCTTATGACTCCATATCCACTAGCCATTTTCTCATACATATATGCTCATGAAAACTGAAGCCCAAGAGTCCCAATTCCCAAGCAAAAACAAGCACAAACCAATGCCCTTAATTAGTTTGCAACCAAAATCGAGATTTATAAATTTACAAAGCTTGGAGGGAGCAGAGATCGACCTCGTATGTCCTGCATATACCCGACCTGCCAAGATTTAATGGGATATTTGAGTGAGGAAGGTACGTACGTACGTAGATGCCTTTTCATGTTCATTTTATCACGAGGATGGTGTACTACTAGCTAGATGCCAAACTGACTTCAACAGATCGAGAGCTTTTAGCATACCTCCTCCATGACAGGATTAAATGATCCACTAGATTAAACTGACTTATAGCATCTCTCTATAAGAAGATTTCTACTTGTTGTGGTAACACCTAAACAACAGGATTAGTGGTCCATTAAATTAAAAAGTCTACTTAAAAAAAAAAAAAAAAAAAAAAAAAGAGGGGTTCCCTTAAAAATACTGACATATACTGATACACATGCATAAGGGGCATGTTAATTAACCAAAGGGTAATCCCCTAGCTAGCTACGATTATGGTACACTCTAAGATAGCCTTCCTTACCGAAATACACAGTGAATCAGCTGGCCTTCATGTACTGAAAAACAACTATAAAAGCAAGTGCTTTTCATTCTTACACATCCATCCCTTTTTACATTAGTTCGGAAACGAGTTAGCAAAATAAGAGTGTTTATCGGATATTAACGGGAAGGGTTCAAAAAGATGGCGTCACCATCCTGCCGTCTTCTTGTGTATGCACTGGTTTTCAGCTTAATAGCCATTAACACGGTAGCCAATGATGATCATGAAAAGCCTCCAAGGCCACCTAATGATGACGAACAGCGACACTTACCAAATAATCATCAAAGACCTCCATTTCAACCATCAAGGTCTCCTCCTCAACTATTACGATCACCACCACCACCACCTCCAAGTAAGAAAAAGTCCCCACCACCACCTCCAACTAAGAAAAGGTCTCCGCCGCCACCACCATCACCACCACCTCCAAGTAAGAAAAAGTCCCCACCACCACCTCCAACTAAGAAAAGGTCTCCGCCGCCACCACCATCACCACCACCTCCAAGTAAGAAAGAGTCCCCGCCACCCCCTCCAAAGAAGAAAAACTCTCCACCGCCACCGCCGCCACCTCCAAATAAGAAAAAGTCTCCACCACCACCACCGTCACAACCAACAAAATATCCTCCTCCACCACCACCACCAACAAAATATCCACCGCTATCCCCTCCTTATACTTCTCCTATACCCCCTCCAAACATTCAACCAGTTCCATCACTATCCCCATCCCCATCTCCTACTCCCATTTTATCTCAATCACCTCCTAATACTTCACCAGTACCCCCTCCAAATATTCAACTAGTTCCATCACTCTCTCCATCCCCATCTCCAGCTCCCATTTTATTTCCATCACCTCCTTATGCCTCTCAAGTACCCCCTCCAAAAATTTCACAAGTTCCAACTTTAGCTCCAGCTTCTATTTTATCTCAATCACGTCCTATTATTTCACCACTACCCCCTCCAAAAATTCAACCAGTTCCATCACTATCTTCAGCTCCAGCTCCAGCTCCCATTCTATTCCCATCACCTCCTAATACTTCACCACTGGTATCCCCTCCAAAGATTTCACAAGTTCCATCACTGTCTCCATCCCTATCTCCAGTTCCCATTTTATCTCCATCACCTCCTAATACTTCACCAATACCAGCTCCAAAAATTTCACCAGATTCATCAATATCTCCATCGCCTCCTTATACTTCTCCTGTTCCATCACCATCTCCACCCCCTCGCCTCCTCCATCTATCTTCAAATCTCCACCTCCTCCATCTCCTTCTCCCTCTCCTCCTGTCCCTAAATCTCCACCTCCTCCATGGTTTGTATTGCCTCCTTTCTTTCCCTTTAAATCTCCGCCTCCTCCATCTCCTTCGCCCCCTCCTCCTGTCCCTAAATCTCCACCTCCTCCTTGGTTTGTATTGCCTCCTTTCTTTCCCTTTAAATCTCCACCTCCTCCATCTCCTTCGCCCCCTCCTCCTGCCTTCAAATCTCCACCTCCTCCATCTCCTTCTCCCCCTCCTCCTACCTTTAAATCTCCACCTCCTCCATGGTTTGTATTGCCTCCTTTCTTTCCCTTTAAATCTCCACCTCCTCCATCTCTTTCGCCCCCTCCTCCTCCCTTCAAATCTCCACCTCCTCCATGGTTTGTATTGCCTCCTTTCTTTCCCTTTAAATCTCCACCTCCTCCATCTCCTTCGCCCCCTCCTCCTGCCTTCAAATCTCCACCTCCTCCATCTCCTTCTCCCCCTCCTCCTACCTTCAAATCTCCACCTCCTCCATCTCCTACTCCCCCTCCACCTATTCGGAAATCTCCACCTCCTCCATGGTTTACATTACCTCCCTTATTTTTCCTTAAATCCCCACCTCCTCCCTCTCATTCACCTCCTTCATCCAACAAACCACCCCCACCTCGTTCAAAAATATTTTACTAAATCGGTTAGTACTTCAAACTTTCTTTTTAATAAATAATTTATTTCAACATGATTGTGTAGTTTATTTTGTTACCAATAATAATAATCTCATTTATTTTTTTTATTCAGCTTATTATGGTTAACGAAGGCAGTGGATTTCTCCCAATGCACATATTGAAAATGTAATCACTTGAAGGGAAGTCGCCTGTGCTCCATCAATCATTCCAAAACAATATTATAGAACATTAGTTAACGTAATAATAGATGGACAATATGGAGGAAAATCCTTTTGTTACATTGTAATACTAAATGAATGCCTTTTATTATAATAATTAATGCTGTTTTTACAATTGCCATTATTAAAGTCTTTACTACACTGCAATTACCTTGGAGAAAAAACACAAAAAGAGAATTCAGATATTCCGAACAGCGTTTACCTAATCATCAAATAGAAGATTTTCCCGCTTGACAAGCTCAATTATCTGCACTTCCAAAACTGTATAAGATATGTTCACTTGATTATGATAATTTCAATATATATAATACTGTATAATACGGATGGATATATTAATTAGATAATTGGGAGCTCATTGGCAATTTAATTTATGCCTGCACCATGTCATTAGTATATATTATTCTAATCAGGTTCAAAAAAATTATAGCATTCCTCTAATCAATTTTTTTGTCAAGCCCGTAAGCAGTTGTAGTGCCATAGAATTTCCATTCCAAAGCCCATAATTAAAAATAAATAAATAAATTACCCTGACATGGTCTGTGCTTCTCCAACCGAACTGCATGCATCACCAATTTGGCATAGATGGCTTCTTTTTCTGTTTGCTTCCTGTTTTTGGACTCGACTTGTCCCATGCATTCTGTTTTTTGCCTACTTGTTTTATTGGCACTTGGCGTTGTATTTCTGACTCTTGCCTATATCACATCTTAATATATTCTCTCGTTCTTATCAAAAAAAAAAAAAAAAAAAGTTTAAGTAGCATAGGAACAAATACTAAGCCAATTTCTACCTTTTCATTTGAATGAGAGTATATGAGTAAGTACAAGAGAAGCAACTATGTTACGAACTTTCATTTTATTTGTTTATTATTATCATTATTTTGGATGAAATTCGATATCAGATTAAAAGAAGCCGAAGCTAACTAACCACTAAGAAATTTGCTAGCAAAGCAAAAGGTCACAGTTTAAGTCGCAGCCAACAAAATCACAGGTCCTATCCAAGCTCTGTTTTGCAAGATTGTCGGCAACTATTTTAGCAACTATACTACCCACCCTCTTAACACATGAACAAAGGAAACAGATTTCAAAACCGTGGCCAGTGTTGTAATGGATTTGAAAAAGCTTTCTAATTTCTATGCAATGCTGATCGAGACACATGTACAAGCTAAATGCAGAAGAACAAAATATATCCAACCGATTAATAATAAAATTCCACAAGCAATCCTTAGGAAAAAAATAACATAACTAATTAAAATAAATAAAGAACTAAATATTTTGGCCCTTAAAAATTCAGTTTGAAAATCTCGGCCGTGCACACTCCCATGTTCTGTGGACAATTGAATTGATACTGAACTATTCACTATAAGAAAATTATCAAAAACGATGAAAATCAACTATAGATTTAAGTTTATCACTAAATAACGATGATTAACAAACGAACTACGATTATTATCGAGATGTGGATTTCAACAATGAAATACCGAGGGATTAGCAACAAATTTTCTACAATGGACTTAATCCATTGGTACCGAATATGACGGCAAAATATTCTCAAATGTTTTATAGATGGTTTAGTAAAAGAATTGCAAGAAAAATCAACGATAGAATTGCAAATTATGTCCCTATTTTTGGGTTTAGCATTCGCGATAGAAATTTCGTTGCTAATTGTATATTTTCCTTGCTAATTAGCGATGAAAATTCCATCACTAATATTGAAAACAAAGGGGATTTTTGAAATTTAAAATCAACAATGAAAGTAAATGTCCGTCATTGATTAATGATGGAAATGCTCCATCTCTAATTCTAAATATCTAAATGGCATATCTCTTTTCTTTTTCTCCTATTTTCTTCTTCCTCTCCATCTCCTCCTCTCACCTCTGCCTCGCAATCCCCACCCAAAACCACTAAAACACCCCACTTCTCCACTCCCCAGACAATCCTCACCCACTCTAAGGTCTTTTCTCCCCCAAAAGCCATGAATTTTATCCTTCCACTCCGTCTCCTTTATCTCATCTCGCCATCTCCAAAGGTAAGAGAGCTCTCTCTTTCTCTCTCTCTCCCTACCAATTTGTTATTTTTATTAATTGTTAAGTTAATCTTGATTAAATAGTTGATGTTAAATTTTATCTATATTTAATTATTAATTGGTTGATTAATTTTTTAACTATTAGGTTAATTTATTGTTATTTTAAATTTAATTAGGTTTGAATTAGGGTTAATTTAATTTGGTTAATTTGAGTTAGGGTTAAATTAATTAGGATAATTTTTAGTATTTGGTTGATTTTTAATTTATTTATATTGCAAATTATTAATTATTAATTATTTAAATTTTAATTAGGTTTGAATTAGGGTTAAATTAATTACGGTAATTTATTAATTGTATTTATATTACAAATTGTTAATTAATTATTATTTAAAATTTAATTAGGTTTGAATTAGAGTTGATTTAATTAGGTTAATTTGAATTAGAGTTAAATCAATTAGGTTAATTTTGATTAATTTGTAATTTGTTAATTGTATTTATATTCCAAAATTTTAATTAATTTTCATTTAAAATTTATTTAGGTTTGAATTAGGGTTAATTTAATTAGAGTAATTTGAATTAGGATGAAATTAATTAGGTTAATTTTGATTAATTTATTGATTTTTAATTTTATTTATATACCAATTTTTTAATTAATTATTATTTAAAATTTAATTAGGTTTAAATTATGGTTAATTTAATTAGGTTAATTTGAATTAGGGTTCAATTAATTTGGTTAATTTTGATTAATTTGTTGATTTTTAATTTTATTTATATTCCAATTTGTTAATTAATGATTATTTAAAATTTAAAATTTAATTAGGCCTAAATTATGGTTAATTTAATTAGGTTAATTTGAATTGGGGTTAAATTAATTTGGTTAATTTTGATTTATTTGTTGATTTTTAATTTTATTTATATTCTAATTTGTTGCTTGATTATTATTTAAAATTTAATTAAGGGTAAATTAGGGTTAAGTTAATTATTTTATTGATGATTGTTGAAGTGTATCGAGATAAACGATAACGTATCAAACCCAAGGGTCGAAGACCCTCGAGAATTAAGGAGAAATAAGGTTGGTTCAATGCGTTGTGATAGACTTAGGAGGATGAGTTTTAGATTTAATTTCAATAGATTATCCAAGGCAAGTGCCGATCTCGGTGTACGTAAATTGATTGTTGAATGATATTTGTATGATCATGATTAATTAAAAAAAGTTTACATGTGTTGTGTATTTAAGATGTTTAGTTTTTTTTTATCATTTGAAGCACTTGATAATTGAAAAACATCCAATTTACATATGAGAGTCCGTCAAAATTTTGTTAGATATTTAGAAAAATTACTAATTAAATAATTATGTATTGCCTTGGACATAAATTTCCCCTCTTGGTGGCTTCTTTTGAACCAAGGAGCTCTTCTAGGTCCGATACTAGTTGGATTATTCTACTCGTTAATAACTAGTATGTAATATGTTTTACATATGATAATTAGTTTTATATTTTTATATATTATTTCAATCATTAGTTAATTAATTAATTATTTATTTATTTTATTCGATAGTTTAGTTTCATCAAGTAAGTGCTCCAATTGAATCGCTATGAGGAGCGACTGGATATTGTCGACTCCACATGGAAGTTTGTCTCTTTGAAGAGAAAATACTTCTACTTTAATGAGTTTAAAATAACCTATTAATTATTTTTATATTATATTTAAATTATTAATTCAACATGAAATGTACTAATATTTTTTTTATGTAGAAGTACTTTTTATGAGATGCGATCGTAGACAAGTTGAGTAAATAAGCATGGGAGAGTCTAACTCGAAGGCGGTACTCCAACATGCTAAACAAACTTAAGAAAAAGACCAACAAACTCATGTATATTACAGAGTAGGTGTGGGAAGCATGGTGGCGGGATTGAGCCACACCTGAGTTTTAGGCTTGATCTCGGCAAGCGTCTTGTAACCATATATCATATATGAGTGGTGTTGGTGTGAGTCCATTGAGGTATATAGAATAATTTAGTCACAAATATGTCGCTAAAAATTAATAGTGTCATAAAATATTTAAAAGTTTTTGTAGTGATTGTTGAATTCCTTCTTGGCATACATTAATTCTTTCAATATATTTTTTTTCTTCCATGGAGTTTTATGATATGGCGTTTTGTCATAGAATCATTCAAATTCATTCTTCAACCAAAGAAGCACCACAACAACAAGAAAAGAAATAATTGAACCTAAGAAGAAAAGAAATAATTCAACCTAAGATTCTTATTTATTATTAGATGAGGTTAAAATAATGATTCTTCTTATATTCTCTAACTCATATGTACAGTGCAAATCCAATAACATCGATGGTGATAACTTAGGTGCAATACTATTTAGTGCTAAAATAAAATTAAATATACCAACAAAAGTGCCAATCGTACATTTCAACTGCTTGTTTGTATTATTTTTTTTCGGTTTTTTAAATGGAAAAATCAAACTACTCTGAATTTTAAAGGTTACATTTTAATAAGAATGAGATTTCAAGGGTAGAACTCTTGACCACTTTATGAAAAAGATTATAATATCATTTTAAATTAAATTAGGGTCAAGTAAAGAATGAATGATAAATAAATAAACATACGATATTTTATTTGATTTAGTTATAAACCTAGTTTCTTTCATATTTATTTTGGTAAAAAAAAAACAACTAAAAAAAACCCAAAAGTAGAACGTTACAAGCAACATTGATCGAGGGATAAGAACTCTAATCATATCTTGAAACAACAACTTAGTTTTTTCTATGAAGAAAAATAAAAATATATTTTGATTTGCTAGCCAGTCTGTATAGATTTCTTTAAGGTGTGAGTAATCCAAAATCACCAAGCAAGTGATTCTTGAAAAGAGCATCCCAAGCTGAATAATTAGTAAAACACGTATTGGGTATATGCTTAAGGTTTAGTTTAGGAATGGCCGAAGTATAATTTATTAAAAAAAATAAATAGGAAAATGATTAATTAGAAAAACGTTTTTGAAAAATGATTGAAGTAAAAGAGAAAAAGGACTATTGTAAAATTAGAAAGGAAAAGTTTTTTTTTCTTGTTCTTTTTTTCTTGTTTTGTCGAGACATGCATATATATAAAAGAAATATTTTTTTATTATTCTTATTCTTTTGATGAATTTTATAAGAAGAAAGAAATGATTTTTGGTGCACTAAATGTTAGGAAATGAATCAAGCAAAATAAATAAATAAATAAAATAGAAAGACAAGAACAATCGCACAACACAAAGATTTTGCATGGTTTAGTAATGGTGCTTACCCTATAGCTACACTAGGATTTCTTATTAAGTTTTGTCAAGTGGTGGCTACAAATATAATTGATGTTGCCTCGATTTATAGTGTGGACGGCTAAGGTTATAAGAAAAAAAAAGGCCTATGGGCCTATACACCGGGCCTAATATTATGTAGGACTTTCGAAGCTTCGTCCCCGAGCCCCTACAAAGGAGTGCTACCTCCTTGACCTCCGCTCGTTAATTGAGTAGCAAGATCGCTATGCTAGATCTGCATAGCTCTTTATATTGTAGGTCCCCATTTACTTTAATCTCCATAACTTAACAATCTTTCACTTGGAGACTGATCTCCAAATAGCACCAAACCTCTTATAACTATCTATTTTCTCAACCAACTTCAAGTCCTCCTAGCATAGTGTCTTCTCATCACTAATCATGAAGGTTAACTAAGACAATGTAAAGCCTTAGCTTATCAATGGTAACTCGCCTTAGTTAAGATATCAACTAGATTCTTCAATCCTAGAATCTTGTTCACACATATTACTTTATCATCCAATAACTCTCGGATATAGTGATACTTCAATTGAATATGTTTGGTTCTTACATGAAAGATCGAATTCTTGATAAGATGAACTATACTCGACTCTCACTAAAAAGCTCACTATCATCATGTACCTCACCCACTTTCTTTAAGAAATTCTTCAATCAAACATTTTCTTTACTAGCTTCTAAAATAGCCATATACTCGGTGTAAGTGATGGAAAGAGCAACACACTTCTAAAGTCGAGATATCCAACTCATAACAGTACCTCACAAAGTGAAAACATAATAGGTTGTACTCTTTTTATTGTCCAAATCACCATCTAAATCTACATCAAAAAATCCTTATGGCATAGTATTATTCTTATTAAAATAAAGGGCCATACCCGAAGTACCTTTCGGATAGCCAAAAATATACTTTACTCCTTCCTAATGCTTCTTTCTTAGATTTTCCATGTATCTACTTAAAACTCCCACTGTATAAGCTATATCGGGTCTTGTGCAAACCATAGCATACGAGTAGGCTTCCAATTATCGATGCATAAAGGACTATAGACATTTCTTTTTGCTATTCAATTATCTTTGATGATTGCTCTTTTGAAAGCCTAAAGTGGCTTCCGAAAGGAGTGCTTCGATCTTCCCATCTTGTAGGTGGAATCTACTCCATATTTTCTAAATGTATTTTTCTTAAAATAAAGTCCATGTACCTTCTAACCTATCTCTACTAATTCTCATCCTAAGTATTTGTTTTACGAGTCCTAAATCCTTCATCTCAATCTATTATGTTAACTATTATTTGAGCTTATTGATCTATTTTAAGTTAGATCCTACAACAAGTATATCATCAACATATAAGAGAAAAATAAGATAACGAGTCATCAAACCTATTGATATAAGAGTAATGATCCATCTCACATCTCTCGAAACCATTGTCATATATAAACCCATCAAACTTTTTGAACCATTTCTTGGGAACTTGTTTAAAACCATACAAACTTTTCTCTAACCGACACATAAGTTTTTCCTTTTTAGAACTTCAAAGCCTTTTAGTTAGACAATATAAATGTCTTCCTCAAGGTCACTATGTAGGATAGTTTTTGAAGCATCATACATCACATGGAGGTGCATAATAAAACCAAAATTTTTACCATCTAAAGGACCCAAGATCATGCTATGGAATCAACTAACTATATGTGTATAGAATAATTACTAGAGGGGTGCTAGAATATTATGTATACTTAGGATAATTTTTCTATGCTTGATGAATATTTTTTTTAGCTTCTCTATGTGTGAATAGTGCCTTTTGTGCAATAAAATTATTTTGAGCATTTTAAATGTGTATGAAAATTATTCTGTGAATATAGAATAATTACTTGAGAGGTGCTAGAATATTTTGTGCACTTAGATTTATTTTTTCATGCCTGGTGAATATTTTATTGGCTTCTTTGGGCATGAATAGTGTCTTTTATGCAAAATAATTATTTTGAGTGCCAAAATAAGTGTATATAACAATTATGTGATTAATGAATAAATTATTATAGAAAGTCCATAAATTTAGATGATTTAGCATATAAATCAATATTAAAATTGAAAAATTCACCTAGCTTATGCTAAGTGTATATTCGACGATTATGGAGAAAATAAGGGTTAGAAGTTTAATCCACGTGTTATTATTTTTAGATGAATTAAATGAAAGAGTTAGAATAATTAAGTGGGTTAATATGTGAATTAAAACCTAAAATGAAAAATTCACCTAGCTTAGATCAAGGAAAAGTTTCGGCCATATATGAAATGTTAGAGAAAATTTTAATTAATCATACTATTATTTGAACTAGTGATCTTATGATTGATTAAATATATTACATGTGTTTAATTAGTGTCATTATGTGTGTATTGCATGGTTGCTCATATTTATGGAAGTTGTGAAATAATTGATGCAATGACTTATTGGATTGAATGTTGTGCCAAAGTGTGTTTTATGACTTGTAGTTATAAATGTAATGAATTAAATATATGTATGGCAATTATTTTTAAATGTGCAATTTATGCTTTGATTTTATAGGTATGTGAAATGTGTTAACGTGTGAACATATTTATGCTTTAATTGCATGAATATGTGAAATGTGATATTGTGTGGTACACTGCAATAAATATTTTATCCGATTGGATCGTGTACCTTGAATTGAATGTGATGGGTTGAAATGAAAAAGGTAATGAAATATTGTGTGCATTTTTATTATGTTGAGGCATGCAATTTTATAGCATAAATGCACATTTACTTATGACATGCATTATATTAATTCATGAGGATATGCATTTATATTTAAATGTATATGCATGTTAGAATCATGAAAAGGTTTTTCTTCATGATTTTTACAAAAGAAAAGGAAAAAGGTTATCGATGGTTTAATTATCCTTGATATTTCTTCGTTGGAGAAATTGGTAAAGGCCTCGACGAAAAAAATGATAAAGGAAAAGAGAGTCGAATATGTACACATGTTTGTATATTATACATTCGGTAGGGCACGTCCGAAAAAGGAAAAGGATTTCAAAAAGGACATGAAAAGGATTTTGAAGTGCATTCACTTGCATACATCCATGACTAACTTACCGAGCAATAGCTCATCTAGTTCTTATGATGTCGGGGCGAAGAACAAAGAATAATGGTCATGTTCACGCTAAAGTTGGTTATTGAAGGAACTCTCCCATTGGTTCGTAAGGTGTGTCTTACTTATGGTTGCCAGTTAGACCTATTACATGTGGTTGTATTGTTAATCCTTGGTATTTTGGGATATGTACTTGGTATGACTACTCTGTTTTATATGATAATAAAAGTAATGACATGGTAAATAGGTTTAGATGTTTAGCATATAAAGGAAGGGTAGGTTTGTAAATATATAAAATCACTTTTGATAAATAGTGTGGTACTAATCTAATATTATGTAAAAAGAAAAGTAGGTTGTAAATATGTCAACCAATTTTGAAATGCTAATCATGTAATAAAATACTAGTGTATAGTTATAGTTTTTGCTTAGTTCAAGTACTTACATACAACTATCAAATAATAATGTGAATAATTAAGTGAGTATGGAAATGGAAATAATAAGGAAAGAATAGAAATAAATAAATGATTTATCATTATAAAAGATAATAATTAATGAAGGAATAATTTTGATAAATGATTAAATGGTATTAGCTCGATAGATTTATTTTATCTTCTAGAAAAAGAATTTGACAAAACTAAAAAACACGAGATCAAATTATTTCAGTCTATACTATTAAAATAAAATGTCAAAAAAAAAAAATTAATAGTGCATTTTGGACTAAAATTTGTAAATCGAGTTGGACTTATTAACTATTTAATTGGCTTCGTAATAAAAACCATAATTAATAATAGAGTAAGAAGGACACAATGTCTTGTATCCTACATTCATTGTGAGGCATGAGGGTAATATCCTCAACTTACTTAGATCCTAGGTCGGGAGTGTTACACATATGGAGGTGGTGGGGAAGGTGATGGTGGAGGTGGTGACTTATAGACATAAGGAGGAGGTGGAGATGGGGATAAAGGTGGTGGAGACTTGTATACATAAGAATATGGTGGAGATGGTGATGGAGGTGGTGGAGACTTGAGGCATAAGGTGGGGTGGGGAAGGAGATGGTGGGGGTGGTGACTTATAGATGTGTGGTGGAGAAGGAGATGGTGGAGGTGGTGACTTATTGACATAATGAGGTGGTGGAGACTTATAGATGTAAGGAGGCGGAGGTGAAGGTGAAGGGGGTGGTGGGGATTTGTAGACATAAGGTGGGGTGGGAAAGGTGATGGTGGAGGTGGTGACTTATAGACATAAGGAGGTGGCGGGGAAGGAGGTGGTGGAGGTGGAGACTTATAGACATATAAAGGCGGTGGGGACTTATAGACATAGGAAGGTGGTGGTGAATCAAAAGGTGGAGGAGGGGACTTATAAATGTATGGGGGAGGGGGCGAGGGAGATGTACGAGGTGGAGATTTTTTAACATAAGGTGGAGGAGGAGATGGTGATGGAGGTGGTGGAGACTTGTAGACTTAAGGAGGGGGTGGTGAAGGAGATGGTGGAGGAGGAGACTTAGAAATGTACGGGGGAGAGGGTGATAGTGATGGAGATGGTGGAGATTTGTAAACATAAGGTGGAGGATGGTAATGGAGATGGTGGTGGTGATGGAGATTTGTAGTAATAATGAGTATAATATGGTGATGGAAGTGGGGGTGGTGATGAATACTTGTAAAGCTCGTCTTCATCGATAGCTACATTAGTAGCTACCTAACATAATGCTAAGGCATACAGCATTTGAGGCCAAATATTGGCCATGTTTGGCTAAATTGGCTACTCTTCAAGTTGATACCACAACTTGGGTTTTCTTTGCCTAGTAAATTCAATACTAATTCAAAGGTGGGGATGACTACAAAGTTTCCAGTTTTTATAGCAATGGCCGCGCAACTACTACATATATTATTTTATTATGTTTTGATGTTTCCAACCTCTAACAAAGTATTCCCATGTTCTTGCATTCTTGTCAGCATAAGGGGGTAAAAGGGATAATGGGTTTCCACTAGGATCCATGTGACTGATAATTTTGTGTATATAAGTTTATAATCTACCTTGAAGAGGTCAAGAATAGTGAATATATAGCTCCTACTGAAACATTCATAATACTAAAAGAATATTGCAAGAACAATTATTCTAGGTTTGTGAAGAAGGGATGTGTGATTAGGTATACCTCCAGATAAACTTCCAATTTGTAGTTTAATAAGTACAATATGTATTATTGAGAAAAACTTGCTGATGTTCCAAATAAAATGTGTGGTTTATGAAACTATTAAGTTTTACCAACAAAATTACGTGTTAGAGAAAATAAAAGGGAAAATGTCATCTTCTTCTTGCAACAAAAATAGTAGGCATATCATTGTCTTCTACCATCACTGAGATCCTGTGCCAGCCGTACTTAATCAACATATATTATGAGGATTCTAAGTATAGATGTTAGTAATTAATTCCAAGTCAAAGTACGGAGTATTAAGATTAAACATCAGTAACTTTGATACTTTTCTGATAAAAGAATAAATAAAAAGATTAAACATCAGTATTAAGACAAATGCATGGAAGCCACCTAGCAAATTCATGGCAGAATCGTGTCCATCTAATATTCGTCATGACAATTAATACTAATAAGGGAAGGGTAATATTCTTATTTTGTGTTCATCGAAGACAAAGCCCCATCCCTTCAGGTTTTCGTAAATGAGAAACTTTGAAAACAAACTACCAAGCAAGCCAAATTTTAACATGGATCATATACGTGTACAGCATTTTATGGAGCCATGTGATATAAATTATGGAACATTTTATTCCTTCATTTAATATGAGAGTGGATTTCACGAATATCTAAAATTTTATGGTTACATAAGTTTTCAACTAAAATTTTGCTCATAAATTAAGGAAAATGACATGATTGTTATAAAATAATGAATGTCCATATGAATGTCTATCTATTTTTCATATCCGCACTATTCATGATCCTTAATATGATTTAATTTATCATTCAATATGAGAAATTAAAATGATGATATAATTTATGTACTTTTAATTATTCATAATCCATTCCAATTCTCATCTGAATTTTAAAACCTATAAATAGGCTTGATTGTTCATTAGTTTATGTATAAGTTTTTTAGAGAGATTAAGAGACAATTTGAAGTTCTTATCACTTGTATTCACTCTATAGTGAATTCTTTTTCTTGTCATCATTTCCTTCAATTCTCCTATTATTTCTATTTATTTTATAACAATGGTCTATTAGTTTGAGTTTTTAATATGCATTTATATTCTAAAATGATTCAATTATATTTTTGTTATTTAATAGAGTTTTTAATTTATTTTTCTGATCAATTTTTTTGGTCAAATTACCTAAAAATATCATGTGAATTGCACATGATCTGATCTTTTCTTTATGAAAATCTCCCTCTAGTCATTTTTTTTTCTTTTTCTTCCTCTTCCTCCTCTCTCCACCATGGCTGCCACAATCTGTTGTTTTTGGCTAATTTTTTCGGTCAAATTACCTAAAAATATCATGTGAATTGTGCATGATCTTTTCTTTATGAAAATGTCCCTTAACTCTTTTTTTTTCTTCCTCTTCCTCTTCTCTCCACCATGGCTGCCACATATTTCTTCCTGGAGTCTACCATGTAGATATGTCGATAATAAGCTATTGTACGTAGTTGATCTATGAGAAGTTTGACGTATGTGCTCTTCTTTGCAAGTTACTACCATAAAAATAATTCAAGTTTAGAGCTAACTAATGCATATATTTGGGGGAAAAAAGCACACAAAACTTCGAAGAAGCTCGAAACAATTATTAGAAGGGGAAAAAAACTAAATCAAAAGCATAAAATACTGTATATGTCACTCGATCATCTTCTTGCAAAACACTATAGACTTACTATGGATTCTAGTTGCATTTTTCTTGTTTTTTACAATAGTATTTTTTTATGGTTTCCTAGCTTTTTCCATGCATTTTAAATGCATATTTTTACAAATATTATAGTTTGATCTCTAATATTTTAGACACTTTTGTTTTTGTTTCTAACTTCATTTCGTATTAAGGTTTGGTCTTTCGTTGTAGGAAGGAGAGAGAAACAATGACAAAGAAGGTGGGAGAGAGAAAGTCATAAGTTTCATTTCGGCTACTTTGGCTCTCGATCTTGAATTCAATTTGTTCGTCTTGGAGAGTAGAGTTTTTTTATGATGGTCAAATTAAAGCCAAGAAATTGTAGGATGAGGTAGATGGAAACTCTAAAATATTTTGAGTTTTTTTAGTTTGATTTAGATTTTTGTACATTTTGTATGCATAAAATGGTTTCTAAGATCTAAATGAACGTTTATTGACCTTATTTGTGTGATTTTGTGATGTTTTGGACAAAAAATGATGCAAAATTTGGGTTTAGGAGGCCAAAAATAAAAAACTCAATTATCTAGTGAACTTTTTAGCTAACTCGAGTCCAACAAAAAATACGGACAAACTACACAATTCATCAATCAAATAGCAAGCCAACAACATGTCGTTCATTTTCTATTCGTTTTTGTTAAAAAAAAAAGAAAAAAATAAAGAAATAAAGACAATCTTGACACAGCCTTAGCCCTTTTTCTTTTTCTTTTTCTTTTTTGCTTTTGCTTTTTTCCTAGTAATTTATTTTAATAATTTTTTATGAATTTTTCAGTGGAAATTATAGAAGATTGATCGTTATTTTTTGGATTTTTCACACTACCTAATGAGAATATATATATACTTTTAAAATTTATTTTTTTAATTTGTCATTTTTTATGAAATTTCTAATCCAATTAATTTAAAATTATATTTGCCGACAATTATGATTTATTTATCATTTTCTATACATGAATTTTGGAATAAGATTTTAAAACATATTTTTTTCTTTTTAAAAAATAGGTTGATATAATTTATATGATTGATTATTAGCTAGAATTTTTAAATTATAGTAGCATGTTTTATATATATAATTTTTCTGAAATACACTTTCTATATTAAAAAAGTGTTTCAACTAATTTGTCTTATTTTTTGAATATTTTTTTTAAAAATAATTAAGTAATAATTGAAATTTGAATGAGAGGAAAAGAAAAAAGATGATTGCTCCGTGTGTGAGGCTTGTATACAAAATTAGTCATGTATGACCTAGAAATAAAAAAAAATTTAAAAAGGAAAAAAATTCTCGTGTTTTATTTGTCTCTTCTTTATATAAAAAAAATTTATCAAATTTGATTTTATAATCATTTTTATTTTAGTCCATTAACTTAAAATTTATTCAATATATTTCTTACAAATTAACTATATATTATATATATATATATTATATATATATATATATATATATATATATATATATATATATATATATATATATTGAATCGTTGATTTTATTAGAAATTAACTATACAACTACATAAAACACTAAGCATAATTTATTATTTATTTATTTAAAAATATTTTAAAATCAATTTCTTTCAAATAAAATAATTGAAATTATATTTTGGTGTAACAACGCAATAATTCAAGTACAGTTTTTTATTCTAATATTATTGATGTTTTTTATGAAAAAAATATAAAAATCAAATGCAAATATTTTCAAAAAACTGATATTCTCATCAATTTTAAATAAAAATAAAAAAATATTTATTTATTTTTATGTACGTTTTTACATTAATTATTATTTTGCTTTTTCGACGCAATCTTAAGAAATACTGACTTTTTTTAATTGAATTTTCATTTTAGTTAAGAATCCATGGATAAAGAAGAATTAATTATTTTTTAATATAATTATTATGAAAAACATAAAGAAGAACTAGTTAAATACAAAATTTTGATTATAAATTCATAAAATTAAATAATTTTTTAACTTTTGATTTTATATATTTTTATAAATTATAACATAGTATAAACCATCAAATTAAAATGATTTTTTAAATGATTTCACTTAATATATCCGACCTGTGATGTAGTACAGGTAATAAAACTACTTATAACGATATGAAATAAACTGCTTAGAGCAGTACCGTTGCAACCATTATAAGACACAAAAATGTGAACTGCATAACCTAAACGAAATTAGTAACCAATAGGAATTTACATTTCACAGCAAATTACCTTTCTTAGGTTGGAACAGCCACAGCGGAGGGAGGACGACGATTGGCACAAAAGACTTGAGAGGTATCTTGTCAAAAAAAAAAAAAAAAATCAAGAGCAAGTTATATGACATTTTTAGATCATTTGATGGGGAAATTGACTAAAAAAATTGATTGAAAATTAACATAAATTACAAGGCATAACTGGTTTATTTTATGAAGATAAATTAAAAACTCAGATTAGTAAATTAATATGCAAAAAATTTATACAAATATTTTATTAGTTAAATCAAAATAATTTGGTATTTCTTTATAGGAATATTTTCTCTCAAAATTTTCCAATAATCTTATTACTCAAAATTTAACATGATCGAGGATCCTTTTATTCAAAAAAAAAAAAAAATTAAGGTGAGAAGTTAATTAGTATGAATAAAAAATTTTCTAACATTAATATGTCTTTCAGCTACGTATTTTATTAACTAACTCTAAATATTTCCATTGACGGATTATTAAAATTCAGTTCTAAATTTGTGTTCATTCAAATCATGTCATACGCATAAATTATTTCATTTTGGCCTTATTTATTTCTTAAAAAAATTATGAGTTGAATTTTTTTTCTTAAGAAAGGGTAAATAAACATATTAAAAAAACAAAAAAGAAATTTTTTTAAAAGAAAATGAAAAGGCTTGCTTGGGCACAGAACGCTATGCTTAATGAACTTAGGCCCGGTTTGACCCAAGGAGTTTGAGCCTAGCCCAACTCCTTTTTTCTCTTCTTCACCTTTTAAAAATTGAGACGAAACGTCCTCTGGATGGAGGGTCTGTCTTCTACAGTGCCAAGACGTATGTGCCAGGCTGCCGGTTATTTGAGTATTTTTTCTTTTCTCTTTATCAGGAATTATTATTTATTATGTCCGAAGTTGTATTGTTTTC